AAGAGGAGCCATATGAAAGGCTCCTTTGGGAAGCAACCTCCTAACCCTAGTCCTCTGTGCCCTAGAAAAGATTTTGTTACAAGGCTCAGCTGGCTGATCCTCCACCACATGTGCAGATGTCCAGTGTGTCTTTGGCACCTACACCGGACGCTGGAGACATCTGTGCCCTAATCTGACCTCAAACAGGCATCCTAACATAAAAAAAAAAAAAAAATCTCTTAAAATGCACAGACAGCAGGCAGAGATAAATTATTTGGGAAATCAGATGAGAAAGGGTGGAGGGAAAGGATCTCTAAAGCAGTAGGTAAAGGCTTAGCTATATTATTCCCAACACTGCTATTGACAGCTACATGCATACATTCCCATGGGTCATTTGAAGCAGACATGCACATCACAAAAATGACTCACCTTAGAAGCTCTGAGGGTTATACTGGTAATTTGCCAGCATCCTAAAAGACTGCACCTAATTTGCACCAAAATATTCATGATGCTTGAAACAGAACGCTCAGGAGGACATAATGCTTGTTTGTATGTGACTTTCTAACAAATTAATGGAAATTGTTTCTGTTTTGGGGTTAAATGGTAAAAGAAATACAGTGCTCATGTCTTCTTCTTAAATAATCTACAATTATTGTACAAATAATTGTACAAACCATGTTCTGCAGACACAGATGTGACCTCCTGAAGATGTATACAACTTCCCCAGCATCTACTACCACAGCAGTGGCATGGGCCACCTCAGCTCCGAGCCTGCCTCAACTATCAGTCAGAAGGATAAACAACTGTAATGTAAAAATCCTGACCCATGAGCACCAAACCTCCACGTCCTTGTGAAAACCATGTCCTCTGCTCAGACTGCAAGGTTTCGAGGTCAGCAGGCACCACTGCCCACTCTGCTGAGCTCTGCAAACCACAGTGACCCAAAACTGTGCCAGGGGAAGATGACCCAGATTCTGAAACAATTAATAACACCTACCCTGCTTGTAATGTGCAAATACTATTCTGAGTCCACATATTGCACAGCCAGACACGCACAACACACGCCTTACAGTTTTTCAAGATTGAGGCATGTTGTACATACACACTTTTATTTTTTAATCACAAGAGAATCCACTTCACTGACATCCCTTGGCAGCATATGGTGCTGCCAGACAGAGAAGGGACCTGCACAGAATCCTAACAGCTTTGTTGCTTTCCTCCATGCCTTGATGATACGAAACACAACCTGGTAACACCATTAGCTGTTGGCATGTGAATGCAATGATACCCAGAGAGTGTTAAAAAATTAAAAAGAAAAGAAAAAAGCGTGCACATGTGGTGAGGGGGAGTAAGTAATTGTGACACAGTCTGAAACATAAACATAACATCTGGAAGCACTCTTCCCAAGTCTGCCTCTTTATCAGACAGATGGCTGGAGAGCTGTAAGCCCACAGGCCTCTCAAAAGGTTCAAGGCCAAGAGGATAAAGTGCTACATCACAGCAGTTTGCCATTATGTCAGTTTTTCTAAATGTCTCTTCATTCTCCCACACTCCGTGTCTCTGCCCGGCCAAGAGAAATCAGAAGCACTGGGTGACTCCACTCCTCTGCAGACAAAGCTCCACATCCCCAGGCAGAAACGTCAGCCCAGGAACAGACTGCAGGAAGCTTGTTCCAGTCCACTTCCAGGTTTGAAGGAGCAAGAGGAGTTGGCCCTAGACTAGCCCCAGTCACTGCTGCTTAGGCCGTGACGCCACAGCTGTAGGATGCTTTGGCTTTGGCAGAGAACTCAGCTTAAGAAGTTCCCCCAACCCTCCAGGCTTCTACCCTTAATCCATCTTTCTCATCCCCACAGCTGACAGCTTACCAGCTGGTGGAGGTATGCTATTAAAAAAAACGGGACAATGAAAATTACTTAGGTTACAAATGCCCCTTGCTCTCTCTTGGCACAGCTCTTCTACCCTGTGGTGGCAATCCAGAACAAACTACGTGGCAAATACCAGCCCCTTCACTGAAGCTGTTCTCAGGGTAGATGTGGTCCATCATCAATCACCCACACGAGCCTTAGGCTGGAACCAAACAGAGGCAATACTAAGACGTGGAAATGGTTATAACAGTAACCAAAAATCTCTGTTCATCTACCCTGAGGACACATTTCAAACCTATCAGCTTTCCTCCAGAAATGGGAAACAACAAGGGAAAACACTCACCAAGCAGTACTCTAAGACTTGTTTTCACTAATCAACACTGTTGTTATCCTCATCAATAGCTACTTGAATCTCACCACAAATTGCATTATGAGGCACACAAACATTGCTGATTTCAAGCTGTTTTCTGTTACTTGCTATAGTGGCAAAGTCTTCCTGAATAAATTTGAGTTAAGAAGCTATGGCTCTTGGCTTTACCAGCACAAATTCTTATTACTTAAAAATATTACTTAAAAGAGTGAAAAAAGCGTGACCCACTTAAATTCCCAAAATGGAATGGTAAATGATTATTGACATGATGAGCCTAAAATACATCCCTTTTAAAATTATTTATATGAAGTGAAAGGTGTATTAGCTGCTAAGTGGTGTTGCATTCAGATAGAAACTGCTTGTTTCAAAGTGCTTACAGTGTAGTTATATCCATACACTAATGACACTAGAAATAGGCAAGAAAAGAAAAGCAATACGGCAACAAAAATGAGTAGTTTTATTGAGTATGATAATTTGTTTCCAGGGATATGAAGGGGAAAGAGCACAATGGTTCTCCAAGGTGCATCAGGAAGAATCCTGAGTAAACAACAGCACAGAGGGAAAGGCCAGAATTCCCCATTCATGTGCTCAACACATCACTCTCCCCATGACCAGGATGAATCTTGGATGCAGTTTGATCTGGCTACCACAAAACAGTTTGTAGAAGGCAGAATTCCAATGTACTGAGAATCTCTTATGAATTTAAGTAATATTCTGACTTACTTCACAACCAACTGTCCAAAATCAGTCCCATTGGTTGCAACAGAATAATAAAGCACAACTGTAGAAGACCCTTCATTGTCCTTTCCTGCTAGCTGTTTCTCTGTGCTGTGCTAGAAACAGTTGGTCATGTAAAGAATAACATACTATTATGTTATTATAGTTCATAATGAACTATATTATGTTCATAAAACATTCAAGAATTACAAACTTTCATTTACTTGCTTTTCAGCAGCTCTTTTGCAAAGACAGCCCCTCTGCTTGTATGTTAGCCAACATATTTATGAGTTGGCTGAGTTTGCTGCAAGCAAAGATTAGCCTGTGCTGATGCTGGAACTCCAAAACAGTACCTCACATCTGCACCGACCCTGCTACAGAACTGCCCATCACCCACATGGACTGCACTGCTAAACCAACCTGAAAAAGCTGGTGGCAGCACAGAAAGATCCCCTGAGGGACCTGCAGGTCACAACCAAATTAGATGAGCTTAATAGAATGTTTGTTCTGTGCGCAGAGGGCTCCAAGTGACACTCAGAAACCCAGTGACTGTAGTGCCCATGGCATGGGGTGGGCATGGCCAGGATTCCCCATCCAGCTCTTCCTTCTACACAAACATGTCACTCAAACCCAGGTTCATCCTGCTTTCAGAAGACAGTCACTATTTATGTACACAAATGACACGGGCATTAATTAAAACATGGAGTTTTATTTGCATAATTAGCGCTAAAAGATATTTTTATGGGTTAATTAGACTTTATTCAAATTGCACCGAGAAGATTTAATTTGGGCTTTGATAACCTGACTGCTACAGTTCTGCAGCAGTTGCAAATACACTCAGAGTTACATGCTACTCTAAAGCCACATCCTCCCTTTCAAATTGTTTTGGTTTTTCACTTCTGGCAGGCTCAAATGATATATTTTTCCTTTCCTTTTACCACCCTCCTGCTCAAACTCTCCACTGCAAATCTCACTAACTGCAATGATATCAAGTGTAAATACACTGAATCACTGAGCTGCTCATGACAAGAGAAATTTCTGCACTTTATAGAAGCCTAATATTTCCCAGGCATTCTGACTGAGCACAGAATACAAATGTTAGAATCCACTCAGGTTTTTGTGCCTGGAGACAGTACAAACCAAGTGCCCAGGAAAGCAATAATCAACCCAGCATCCACCCAGGCTTTTATGCTACTCTTCAATGAGCCCAGGTTTGAGGCTAATAACAAGTGCAGGTGTAGGGATCTGTACAGTGAAAACGTGCTGCGTGGACCAACGTACAGCAGTGTGGGGAGGATTCATTACAACAATACCCAGCAGGAGCAAAATAATTCCCATGGAAAGCAACAACGTATGACCTCACTGTGTGCTGCTGCAGACAATCATACTCATTGGAAAAGCACTGCTTTTGTGCCTGTGGAACAACCAGATCCAGCCTCTGGGAAAGCACTAAAGAGGAGAGGAGGCACTGGCAGGCCAGCTGATCCCAGTGCTCCCTGGAGTGTGCTGCTTGGCCTCTGGCAGTTCCCACCGTACAGCTTAGCAAAGGAATCCTCCCTTTCTGAAACAAGTAGCTCTTTGCAAAGGGGGATTTTTCTGTGTTACATACAAGGCACTAACTACTGAAAGGTTTCAATTACCCTGTACCAATGTTCGAAAGTTACAGTGGTTCACTGTGGAAGAATTTATTGCTCGCTTGATGAACCAACCACAGAGGCTCTGATAGTTCAGAGAAACAAGGTCAAAGCTATCAAGCCAAAACATTATGTTCAGTGAAAACCTTTAAAATTAAGGATATTCATATTCATGGCGAAATGACACCCTCTATGCCATGTGGGCCTATTCTATTCCTTTTTTTAATTTAAACTGATGAATTTTATTACCTGGAAACTGAGATGCCCTGGTACAGATCAACAGATGGTACCGTAGTTAACGGAAGTGTCTCCAGATTTCCAGGCTCCAGGTTTAATAGCTATGAGTAGTGGTAACACAAGCCCTAAGTCTTTCATCCATGGATGGTATCATGGATACAAATGAGTGCAATGTGCCGAGGAGATGAGGTCTCATACCTGTTCCTTGAGCTTGGTGCTATCCTCTGACAAATAACTGTTGTGGTTGAATGCTTCCCACCGTTCCCCACTTCTTGTTTCACGTCCCACTGCCGGGGGTCACTTGTCTGTGCACTGAGAATGTTTACACCTTTCTTCACCTTTGCCCTGTTGGAAACAGAAATTGGGAAACACCGACGAGTCATTTAGGATCTTCTAAATGCAGCTCAGGCATGGAAATCTCAACACAGCAGCTTTAAGCTAAGTATTAGATACGTTTCTAAGCCATCGGTAAATAAGAGAGCAGTACCATGAATGCAGACCTAAGTCAATGTATCACTTTTTTTGGAGAGAAACACTTAACTACCCTCCTTTATGTGTTCTATCAACAGCAGGCTGGAGTTATGATTAAGACTGAACCTGCAGGAAAACCTGCACTCACGGTTCTTTTCTCCATTCTGGCAATAATCTTCCCCAAACAGAAATTTGTCCCAACACAGAAGACTCAGAAAGGGTCTGTTCATCTGTATCAAGACAAAACTTGTGCTTCATCACTGCCCCAAGGAATACTTCATGGGAGTTTTTTAAATAACCAATTTTTATTCCATATGATAATCTCCTAGGTACCAGTGGACACATTATTGCCATTCTTCCTGACAACTCCTTCTCTGTGACAGGTTCCCCAGGAAGTTTCTGTTTCAAATCTCCAGCCAGGGAAGAATACAGCTGTTGGTCAGAGACAAGTCTTTGTAACTCACAGATGTTCTATAGGATGCAAATTTCTGCTACTGTTAGTTGCTACATCCTGTAAAACAGTTAACTATATTTAGAGATGCTAACAACATGAGCAATAAATGTATGGAGGCTTAATTAAAAAGCATTGGTTTAATTAAGGAGCAGTTGTATATAGAACTCCCAGCAAAGATTCTGTTTGGGTGCAGAACATGTAGCTGCTGATCTTCAGTACATGGCTTTGTGAGCAGCGTGGCCCCACTCTCAGAGGAAGAAGGCAAAGGGCTGCTTAACTTCACACCATCAGAGAAGAGTCCTTGGAGCTCTACCCAGCTGAAACTGGCTTTTACCATCGCAGAGAGGCTACAGCATGTCAAAAATCATATTTTTCTAAAATGCTTACGCAACACAAAATGCTAGTTATTGAGCAGAAATCAACCAACAAGATGTCAATATCTTCTTGACATTTATGAGGACTCAGCACCTAAATTCCTTGGAAAAACAGGTGTTTTTGACACTAAAACACTTTAAAAACATACTTGTGAATGACTGAGAGTGCACTTGAGTTCTTGTTGCAGTTTCTCAACAGTGAGCCAAAACAATTAATTTAAGGCACTGAAAAAGAAAACTTTCTTGTTCACAGCATAAAAGCTTAGAGTGCTTAATTCTCACATTTGTAACAAGAAACATCAAGGAGCTTCACAGATTGCTGTCTTTCTCTAGTAAAACTAGCACAAATCTGATGCATTTCTAATGCCTTCAGCTGGATTACTCAGAAATGAAAACAGGAAAAATAAAAGGAGAATCAAATCCATTACTGAAAGTTCATTGAAGTTCTAAGTCCCATTAAGTTTTCCAGCATATTACAGTTCAAATAAATGAACAATAAATAAACATTTCATTGATAATAAAACACCACCATCAGTCTTGAATACAAATACATCAATAAGGTTTTGGTGGTATGGATTTTAGGAGATGTTTGGATGTATTTCAGGATGCTGTTATTTAGTGACTAGAGAGACCTAAAAACTGACCATTTGGATCCTTTGTTCAGCTGTTCCTTGAGACAGGCTCTGAAATGGCACAGTGTCAGCCAAAATGAAGTTCCTCATGTTTGGATTTCCAACAGAATTACAACTTTGTCAGCAGCTGCAAATTGCTCTTTCCACCATGCAGCTTGACATAGTCAATACCTGGGCTCCTGTTAATTAGGATGGACACTCTGCACGGCCAAGGTTAGTGGTAAAATGCACTGCCAGAGGATGAAAGACCATGGCTGCAATGCCATTTTGTTAATTAACTACGGGATGGGGCATTAAGTTGAGTGGTTTTCACATATGCCATTATATAAAGCCCATTAAATAAAAAAATTCCATCCCAGGGTAAAGTAGGTTATGTTTAGTGAGAAAAATCAATGTTGTGATTGCACTTAGCACTGGAATTAGGGTATGAACACCCAGAAGATTGACCTCCCTAAATAAATATGCAGAAGCACAATTTGCAACTCTCCCTCTAAAAAGGACATTGAGTTTTATATAACAAGGTCAATGGATGAATCAGAACTGAGCCCCATGCATTTTTAAATGCAGTCTGCACGCATATGCTACAGATGTTTTCACTTAAATTTTTATTTACTTAGCGTTTGAGTGCTAGCAAAGAAAAGTCTATTTAATTCCTTACCAAAGATTCGTTGACCTTGTTGTATACTTGTGATTAAATATTAATTTTTTAAATCAATAGTGCCAACTTTGTACATAAAAATTTCTAAGTTTTACTACCTCTATAAACCCTGAGACCAAGGACTTGGAGACCAAATTGCTTGACAGGCTCTTGTATTTCCCCACCTAATCTATGCAATATATACACATTTGCCACGTTTACTTAAGGGAGGCAGGTACAGTGACAATAAATGGAGTTTAAAACAGCTGAAGTACTCCAGGATTCTTTAGGCTATGATTCCCCACTCCAACTGGAAAACTCTCCTCTTTGACACGTCTGCTTGTTTACAAGCAGATGGATGTCCTCACACAGAGGCTTTTCTGCACAGCTCTCCATCCTGGCAGCATCCACCAGCCATAACCTGTCAGCTTGGACTCCCACTCAAAGTGGAGTCAACAATCTTCCTCTCCAGCATTATTCTAGACAATTATTGTATTTTCTGTGGGTGTCACCAAATTGCCTCCATCACTTTGGCTATGTGTGCTCTTCACAGTGGCAGCAACAAAAATCACTCTCTCCTTTTTCTGGATCTAAACACAGACCCTGTTAAGTGAGTCACCTACAAATGCACAAAACCTATGGGCAGCAGCTCATTTATTTGAGTTTGATTGTCTGTGTGCTGAAAGATACTCACGGTTTTTGATCTTTTGACAAAAGCAGACCTTGCAATGGAAAGATGAAAGAAAGTCCATCATTAAGAATGGCACAGAACACCAGAGGTCAGCTTCAATCCCACCCTGGATCAAGGGCTCTATCTGAATGGGGTTTTGAAGCTTTATGAACATATGGTAGCCAGAACAGTGAAAGACTTTCTTGCTTAAACTTCCAAGGTTATTAATTCTCAGCACAAGAAATCTCTGCCTCATCTTTGTCTCAAAATAACTGTCTCTCTTTAAATCTCTCATATGGTGAATTACATTTTGCTGGCATGCAGAACAAGCAGCATCTCGAAACCATTGCAGAAAAGTCTCCAGCAGTTTACCTAGATACCATGACTTAATTTTCGTCTAGATCAAGTAAAAATATTTACTTATGCAATCTCACAGCAGATGCATTTGTGTAAATGTGCTATTTCCAAGCAAATATTTTGTTTCCAAATTGAAGCTTTTAATTGTATACAAAAATTTCCATGTAGCACCTTATCTTCCTAACATGTAAAACTTAGAAATGGTGTTTCTAATGAATATATTCTGATCAACTACAGATGAAAATCTAGCTGTTCCATTTCACTGTCCTCGAGCTACAGGGACTCTCAGTAGTCTTTAGACATAACACTATAAAGCTGATAAAGCCAGTAACTGAAAGGCAATTGAATCAGCAACAGCCAGAGCTGAAGATGTGACTTATGACTTCAGGAGCTCAGGTTATACTTTCCTATTTATATTTTAATCTTTCATAACTGCTATGGCCATAGAAGGGTTCTGCCACCTGCAGCAGTGCTATAGAGAGGGCAGGTTGCTGAGTACTCCACATAGTTCTGCACATGCTGTGTGATTTTGCTGGCATACACTAATCCTGTATGCATCACCTCTTACTCCAGAGAAAGTCATCCTCAAAGCACAGATCCAAACAGAGCTGCACTGTCTGGGTGTGCTGTGATACAGGTAAGTAATCTACCAGCAAAGGCAGAGTGAAGTTACAGGTAGGCTAACACCAATGAAGGTGACCAGGAGCCCTTGGCTGTACAGGTCCCAGTTCCCCTGAGGCTGGCACGAACACCCCGCTGACTTCCTGGCAAGCTAAGCTGGTAGTGTGAATCAGTGGATGATTTAGCTTCCTGGATGGCTCACTGCAAGGTCAGAGCAGCAGCTGTGTCAGTGCCAGAGAAGTGCAGAAGCAGGAAGCAAGGAGGGGAGGGGAGACCAGAGCAAGACCTTCAGGTTCCTCTTACATGGGGTTAGCAGCATTGTCAAACTGCACTCCAAGAGCAAGTTTATGCAGCAGCCAGGGTAGATACGGCTGCCCTAAAGAAAGAAAAACTAAATTAATACTAGATTACTATCATCTGTGAGCTTCATAATATCTGGAATAGCGTTCCAGGCACTAAACCTTCTGGTTCCTGTTTGTCTGTTTTCAGAGGGTTATACTGAGCTCTGCATCTCCTGTGCCCCTCACAAATGCCACGTTCTTCTTGGCATGCTTTACTTTGATCTGAGAGCAGTCTGGTTTTAGATCAGTGACCACTGCTTTGTACAGACAGCCTCTTCAGCTCACATCTGTTGTCCAAGCTGCTGTGCCAGAAGACTCTTCTTTAGGAAGCATTTGAAATGTAAATATTAGAGACAGATGCAGGTTCAGTCCAAGCGGGGGGATCGGCTCATCTGTAGGGTAGTCCCTGGGTCACAGGAGCTGAGCGTGGGCATGCTGGACCTCACCATGCTGGGCAGGGGGAGGATCTCACGCTAAATCCTCTGCATTGCCACAAGTAAATCCTTGTCTGGTTATATTTGTCAACTTGGTGTTTCAACTTAACAAATGCTGACCCCTTTTGGTCACTCTTCTCTGGAGCCTCACTGCTTCTTGCAACTCTTTGCTAGTCCTCCCTTAGTTGCCCTGACTTGTAGAAGCCCCTGACATTACTGACTGTAAAGGTCACTTTGTAAGAAATTATTTTACTGCATCTCCCCAAACCCTGGTGGCCTGTTTCTGGGCTGCACTTTACAGTAAGTCTCTAACCTTCCCAAGTTCTGCCAAAAATTTTTCAACTTCTTCCTGCC